TAAAGGATGAAGTTTTCCAATTTATTGGGATAATATTTTTAGTTCCTAATAAGTAAATGTTAGACATATTAATCGTAGACTGTTAGATATATTCTTGATCTGTGTAAAAAGCTATGTCGATTGGAATTCACCCTCGATTGCTACATACAAAAGCGGTTCTAATATTAAATTTTTAATTTTCAATTCAATATCTTCCCTAAATTCTTCATTTAGTGCCATGTAGTAGTTTTTGCTCTTTTTTAAACCACTTCCAAATCTCAACCCTAGACACTAACTTAATGTCAAATTTCGTGTTACAAACACTATCCGTTCACCTAAAACCAAATTTAACACCATTCAGTACATTTCATATACGCATTTTCCAAACCACCTCTTCATTTTATCCCTAACCACCAGTGGCCCAATACCAATGTGTTAGGTTTCCAGCTCCATCCGTTCACTAAAAACCAAATTGTACCATATTTGCATCATTAAGTACAATTCTTACACGTAGTACACTTTTCCAAAACCACCTTCTCACATTGACTTTAAAAATAAAACTCTTATACCAAATGTCAAGTTTTTAGCTTAATCTTAATTTGATAATCTCAACCGGAAGCATCTGCAGAAACAGATTAATTATTAAGAAACGGTATATTTTTATGTTTATCTGCAGGAATAGATTTTGTTTCATTAACCGATTGAGGCCTGATCAAAATAGCTTGATTTATAGATTCTGCAGTAACAGAAGCTTCCTTCAAGAGCTCCGCGGAAAGTACAAGTTGGAGGGTTAGAATAAACAATTGTAGTGGGTAAGTTAGTAACAAATGCGGTCACTAAAAACTAAGAAGCTGTATGTACGATTTTAGAAGATTGGATTTCGACTGGAGCATTTTCAAAAGCAATTTCTACAGTTCTATAATCAATAGTGGGTAAGATGTCCGAACCAAAAAAAAATTACTGTATGGTGTGGTTGAGCCACATCTGGTGAGTTTAAACAAATCAAATTAACACCAGGTACAAAGATTGATGATGTCTTTCGTTTCGGAGATCCGTTTAAGAATTGAATATTATTAAACTTCTTTTCGAAATTTTGAAGCTTGAAAAATGCTTTGTCGGAAACCTTCTTCAAAGCAGCCAATTAAATTTTGGACTCAATAAAATAACTATAGGAGTTAATTTCTATTGGCCTACAATCGATACATGCCCAATTTAAGCCATCATTTTAACTTATCGCATAGCCAACACGTTAAAAATCGTTATTTTAATTTAGTAATTTTACCATTTTTTATTTGAGCAATCTATGCTAATGTGAAATACAAAGGGAAACAGGAAATGGTGTAGTAATGAATTTACAGTAACTGCCTAAAAGTATGCTAAGGAAAACCAATTTAATATGTACAGAAAAGCAAAAAAAGAAAACAAGTAAAAAGATATTAAGTTCGGCCAGGCTAAACTTCTACATAATACCATTGGGTAAAAGACATTTTTATGCAAAAGTATCGGGATTCAAACGTGTTCCACTTTAAAATATAAAATCCAGTGATCGATAGGAGAATGGCTGGAGCCACTATATGGGGGCCATACTAAAACGTGGGCCCATATAGACAATGTTATACTAAAACGATTGTAATCTATTGCGTGTCTTAAATACCAAATTTGACATAATTTCGTGAATATAGGAAGGAACCGTTATATGTGCGCTATAGGAAAATGTGGACTTAGATATTCAATGTTCTGCCACCGGAGCTAAGCCCATTATGAACTCTGAATACCAATTCCTGGACAAATCCGTGGGAAAATGTAGGTAAACCCATCAAAATACTGAATATCGGGAGATACCGTTATATGGGACCATTCAAAAAAGTGGACCTATACATTGTTTTACCACCGAATGGTATCATTATATGTGCGCCATAGGAAAACGTGGACCTATATATACAAAGTTTCGCCACCGGAGCTAGAACCCATTATGAACTACAATTACCAATTTTTAGACAAATTCGTTGTTGTTTTTGTAGCAGCTCATACCGTTGTGTTCGATTCGACTCTTCTCAATCGGATTCTGCCTCTAAGTCTAGTCTCAAAAAGGATGCAACCTGTACGGGTTGGGTCCACAACGAGGTTGGAGTTAATGAGAAGGTTTTGCTGGACAGCGAAATAGGGCAGCGTGTCATGTGGTCCTGTGCCACAAGCTGGGCAGATGTTCTGCACATCTCTGTCGATCCGGGCCCAATAGGAATTGAGACGGCTGCACCATCCGAATCTTAGTTGAGCCAAAACTACTCGGGTTTGTCGGGCAGCTCTCGCTCTTTAGCTGCGAGGGAGGGGGATGGTCTCCTAATGCAGTATTCACTCTATATCCTTCCATAATTTCTGAGACCGCGTTAGTGTGAATATTATTCAGTCCCGCTTGATAGGCCTGTTGATCTAGAGGCTCTCTCTTATACCTTTGTACCTCTCTCTAGATCATAAGGGTCTTTCCTTATGTGCCTGGGCGGAGGTTGCCTATCCACCAGATGGTGATTCGGATGGCTCTGTCTGTAACACCCAAATAGGTATTGCATTGACAGCATTTTATTATGCTGTCGGACCGGTAAGACCTTCGCCTCCTCATGTAGATTGTCGACAGGTGTCATGAGGAGGCACTCTGTTGCAGTTCTAAGGTCGGCTTTCTGGTGGGACTGAATGTTTTTCACTGCGTAGCACTAACGTCGTTCCTACTTCTAATCTAATTGCAGATAGCTGTGGTATGCGCGGACGACTTGAAAGGGTTATCGAATGTACGAACGTACAATCATTTGCGTACGTTATTATCTATATGCCGTCTGGAGGGCTTGGAATGTCAGAAAGGTAGATGTTAAACAGTTCCGGAAATATCACCCCACCTTGGGGAACTCCCTGTTTCACTCTACGGTAGTTCGACTTCTTGTTTCTGAACGCCGCATACGACTGGCGTCCACACATGTAGTTTACAATCTAACGTTTCAAACTTGACCGGAGGGCGGTGCGTTCAAAGCTTTAGATAAATCAAGTGCCACCATAACTATTCTGTCACACGGCCTGTTCTGGTTAAGTCCTCTGCTGACATGTGTGGAAATGGCGTGTAGAGCTTTTATTGTGCTATGCAATTTTCGGAATTTGATGATCAGCTAGTGGGAAACACTCTCTTATGTTGGGGAAGAGTAAAGCCCCAAGTGTCTTTGCTACTGTTGACAAAAGTGATATGAATCACTTTTGCTGGCATCGTTGCCTGGCTTCAGTAGCGGGACCACCCTGTCCATTTTCCAGGCATCGGGAACTAAGGGTGGCTAACGTCAGGTTGAGGAGTTTGGTGAGATACTCAACTCCTGGTTCATCCAGTTGCTTCAACATCACCTTAGAAATTCCGTCAGGACAAAGCGCTTTGGATGACTTTGCGCTTCTGATGACATATGCAACATCTTTCAACGTAAATTGTAGTGGTACCTCCTCGGCTGGAAGATATCGTACACGGCGTAGGATTCTTCTCTTAGCCCTGTCACTATCACTATGAATTGCCAGTTGAAATAACACTCGCACCTCTTCGGATTTGTCACTTCTACGCTGTTAAATGAGACAGATGTCCAAACAAATTTCCGACCGCCAACCCACCAATATATATGCGTGTTCGTCCATTTTTCTGATGTGGGAGCAACATTACCCGGAATATTTCCTCCGTATTCTCTTGGTCCGAGCCGAGATCAGGACCCCGGACCATGGTTCTGCTCCGTTTCTCGTAATCGCATCCACCACGGATTGGTCTCGGTGAGATGCATGAAGTGGGTGCATTTTCGGAATTGCTCCGGCTTAAACCGAATATAGGAGTATAGCGATTACATTGCTTCTTGCTGCGCTAATATAGACCCCAGTGAGTCCTCATCTTCGTCGTCCAGATCGCCTTCCCCGCAATCTCCACAATAGCAAGTCGTGCTGCAGCACAATACATCGTTTCTTCAATTCAACTGCGATGATCTCATAGGTAAGATCAACGAAATTGTAAGCTTCATGAGTCCGAAGAACTTCAAGGTCGCAGCGATCCAGGAAACGATGCTGAGTACCACCTGCAGGCTTCAAAGTTGTGATGGATACAACGTATTGAGAAAGGATCGCACCAGAGGTGAGGGATTAGCATTCCTATTGCGCCACTCTGTCCAGTACAGACCTATCTCGCCTGAGCTTGACTCTAGTGACCCGTACATGGAATGTATGGGGTAGCGGTCAAGTGTGGAATCGCCGAGGTAGAGGTGCTTAACGTGTACATTCCGCTGTTAACCGGGCCCCACGTTATATGCCCAATATCTGACATATTCGTGGAAAAAATCATCAAGATACGCAATATCGGGAGGTACCATTATATGCTATACAAAAACATATACAATGTTTCGCCACCGGAGCTAAAGACAAATCCGTGAAAAAAAATGTGCAAAAATCTTCAAAATACCGAATGTCGGTAGGTACCGTTCGGTCTGTATCGTGATTTTCACCGACAGACGGACATCATCAAATTGACATATTTATGGGGTGTACGACGAATATTTAGAGATGTTACAAACGGAATGACAAATTTAATACACCCCCCTTTTCAAGGCAGAGGGTATGAAAAGAAAATAAAGCATATAAATATTATAGCATGGTTAATCTATATTAATTTTTTTTCTTTGCTTGACATTTATTGTTCACAAAGTTCCCAAAATTCAAATTATAGTTTGTTTGTTCAAAAGGTTTTGCTAGAACAGTTGAAATACTGAAAGTAAAATAACTTATTGAAATTATATTATGAGGATAATTATGTTTAATGGATATACGTTTTATAAAAATGTTGTTTTAATAAGATTTAATGTGAAGAGTTTAATAATTAAAGTAAGTTTTCATGTAGTGTTGTTGTTTTAATAAGATTTAATGTGAAGAGTTTAATCATTAAAATAAGTTTTCATGTAGTGTTGCCCTTTGTATTGATTTTTATTAAGTGTTTATTGTTGCCTATTTTTCTTGTTTTGCAGATAGAAGATTTATATGAAGAAATACTTTTTGAAATAACAAATAATATTGGATGTGAAGCCAATGATGTGTGCAAGGAATCTCTAATTGAATTTGCGCAGGAGGCCTTTAAAATACCCAATCAGAAGCATGAAGTTATACTCGAAGTTGCTCAAAGAAAAGAACCTCCTAATATTCGTTTGAATGTAGAAATAATCAAAGCTGAGAATCTGTTACCAAAGGATTCAAATGGATTTTCCGATCCGTTTGTTACCATTTACTTAGAATCTAAAAACTCCCATCGATATAATTCATCCGTAAAGACTGAAACCCTTAATCCAATATGGGAAGAACACTTCTCCTTGTAAGTATTTAGTTTATCATAAGTACGTATGTATGCCTTTAACATATATAAAATGTTAAAATGTGTTGACCTCCTTGCATTTAAATCTGATATTTTTAATATGCTTATATAAGACTATAAATTATCTTCAAAATACGAAGGTACTGATTTCTTGCTACAGTGGTTGTTATCTATTGCGAGTATCAAATTATGCTAAAAAATGTGGCTAAAATATAAAAAATACGAAATATTGTGAGGTTCCGACAAAATGTTGATGTAAGAAATCATAGGCCTTTTCCAGCAGTCACTTGCCACAAAAGGCAGAAACAATAACAAATTAAACATAACGAATTTGTAACAATTCCGTTCAAAAATGCTAAAACCATCAAATAACCAAGTACCGGAAGGTACCATTATCAAGAGACACCAGGAAAACGTAAACCTATAAAAACCGTCGCAAGAGGTAGAACCCATTACGAACTCTTAGTATCGAATTATTAATACTTTCGTTAGAAAATGTAGCTGAAATCATCAAAATACCGGGAGGTACCACGACTTAAATCACAAAAATGCCCTATATCGGGAGGCACCGTTATATATACTATGATATGCCACAGAGGGTAGAGCCCATTACTTTAAATACTGAATTTTAAACAATTCCATTTAGAAATGTGGCTTAAATATTCAAGATACGTACATCACTAAATCGACTATGAATTTACCGCTGATCAAGAATATATGCAATTTGTAGGGCCTAACATGAGTATTTCGAGGAGTTACAAACGGATTTACAAGATCAAATAGAAACATTCGAATAATTAAGACAAGAAAGTAAAGTAAAAATTCTCTCTGAAATTAACGGAAAAAATGGTCACTGTTCTTAATAGAGAGATGCTAACAATAAACAACAATATAAGTACAATAAATGAACGAATTTCAAGAATATAATCTGAGGGCAAAGTTTTAATACCCTCCACCATTTAGAAGGAACATAAAATTTTTCAAAAAAAATTACGAAAAATACCGTTAAATGACGTGGACCTGAATTAGTAATTTTTTGTTATTGGCTGTAGTACCCCTTAAGATCATTACTTACGAAATTTGAAACAATTCCGTCGAATAATGTCGCTAAAATCATCAAAATACCAAATATCAGGAGGTACCGTTATATAGGGGCTATACGAAGACGAGGACGTGCATACGAAATTTTTGGGCATAAACTGTAGTACATATTACACCGAAAGAAAAATGCTTCGTAGTGTCAATGAACCGATTTCGTTGATTTTTTTTTTCATTGATGCAATGAAAAGCTACGTTAATGTAATAAATGTTTTGTATATGCAATGAAAACTTACGTTGCTTTTAAATTCAATGATTTTAGGTTTCATTGAATATATGAAACGGATTTCATTAATGTTACGAAACTACTTATTTTTACAAAATTCAGTAAAAAATGTGAATATAGAAATGATATATAACCACGCTGTCTGATACAAACAAGTACGCAACCAAAGTATTTATAATTTGAGAGAAATTTGTGATAATTGTTATATTTAAATGTGTGTACCAATTTAATGAAGCAGTTTCATGAAATGAGTGAAACGTTACGATGTGGAGTTCGTTCTAGGCCAAACAAATGATGCATGGAAAATGTCATCTCAATGGGAAAATATTGGCGACCTGCATTTTGTTCATAAAAGTACGTGGGCAGACGGTCAGACTTACTGACATTCATAAACCGACTCAGAATGTGATTTTATAAAGAAAGTTGTAAAGGGGTTTTCTCGCGTATTTCTACCTGTCACAAATAAATGCGTAACGAAAAAAACCTGTACCTTGATCCAAGTATAAGGTCCCCCCTCCAGCTCAGCTGATTACCAAAGGATCTGTCAATTAAATTTGAATTCGCTGCAACAAAAACAATCTTTAAAACCCTCCACCATTTTGAAGGATATCGAAAAAGTTTAAAAATCCGTCGAAATATACGACGGACATATATATAATATATGTTCATATATCGCAGTTATTGACGAAACAATCCAAATTGTCAATCCTTATTTAAAAAAAACCTTACAAATTTTGAAGTTTGATTGAAAATGAGTGTTACTTTAATTCAAGTAAACAACACTATATACTTCCATTGTCCACATACTGTAATTTTAAAAGAACACTACATATAGGTAAAAAATAGGCAAACAATATTTTCCTATTATTTTATGACCAAACATTTCTGATAGACACCAATAAATTGAGATTGTCCAGTATATTTTCAATTTTTTCTATTCATTTGTTGATATCTATGCATATTTTGATCTGCCCTCATCTAATAATAATATTTTTTGAATTGGTTTGGTATTCAATTTTATATTTACGCAGTGTTTGTTACTTTAAAATTAGAGCACACACAAAAACACATCCTAACCGTCGAAAGTAACACACACAAACTCTCTCAATTTAAGCACATGTACACAAATTATACACAATTTGACGATGACATGGTTCGATGTCATCGTCGACACCCTGCATTTATGGAGAGCACCATGCAAATATTCGAGTCAGCCATGCCACGAATCAAAATGGGCACACATGAATCAAAATGGGAGATGTTGTTGGTTGTCATTGCCTATCAAATAAGTAGCGCATGATTAAATAGTAAAGGCCTGCACAAGACGAATTGTATGAATTATGCTTTTTTTGACACACTGACTTTGTCTATTCAATCATGTGCTACGTATTTGATAGACAATGACAACCAACAACATCCCCCATTTTGATTCATGTGTTCCATTGTCTAAGGTTCGATGGTGGCATGGCTGACTCGAATATTTGCAGGGTGTCGACGATGACATCGAACCATGTCATCGTCAAATTGTGTGTCATATGTGTACGTGTGCTTGAATTGAGAGAGTGTGTGTGTGTTACTTTCGACGGTGAGGATGTGTTTTTGTGTGTGCTGTAATTTTGAAGTAACAAACACGGCATACATATAAAAGTGAGTACGAAATCAATAATTAAAAAATATTCTTTATGACGTAGTTGAGGGCTGAGATATTAAGAAAATGTATCAGTTTTTATACCCTACACCACAAGGTGGTCAGGGTATTATGTCTTTGTGCATTTGTTTGTAACAGACAAAAGGAAACGAGATAGGCCCATAGTTCCTTTTGATGATCTGCATAGAATCACTTTCTGAGTTGATTTATGCATGTCACTCCGTCCGTCCGTCTGTCCGTATGTATGCCAAATTTGCTCGAAATCGGTTCAGATATAGCTATAGCTCCCATATATATTGTTCATCCGATTTGTTATTTTTGTCCTCCGCAGCCGTAATATGCACTCTGTAACAACAATATTTGGGGAAATATATCAAATGCAGCTCAGAAATACCTTTGCTAAATTTTATCGAGATCGGTTCAGATTTGGATATAGCTCACATATATAACTTCGTCCGATTTACCTTTTATTGTGCACCAAACGACTAAAAATTGCCCAAATGGGATGGAATTTGGCACATACGACCGAATTTAGTCTAGAAGGTAGTATGCCAAATTTGGTGAAGATCGGTTCAGATATAGCTATAGCTCCCATATATATTGTTCATCGGATTTGTTGTATTTGTTACCTCCAGCCGTAATATGCACTCCATAACAACGATATTCAGGGAAATATATCAAATACAGCTCAAAAATATCTTTGCCAAATTTTATCGAGATCGGTTCAGATTTGGATATAGTTCCCATATATATCTTTATCTGATTTCAAATTAGTTTTGCAGCAAATGGGCAATACAAGTCCGAATTTAAAAGATACAAATGCTTTGGCATATTTAGTCCTTTGAATTTTAAATTATAATTATAATCATAGCGTGTATGATTGAATTCTCCCATAAAAACTTTTAATTATTAAGTGGAGCTCAACTAAATTAACAAAGTGGTGTAGGGTATCATAAAATCGACCCCGCCCGACTTTAGGACTTTCTTTACTGGTTTTTATTAAGGATTGACATTTTGGATTGTTTCGCCAATAACCGAAATGTGCAAATTTTGTGTGGACCAATTAGAAGTACCTGAAATATGTTATTATTCGCCAAGAAATACTTCATTACAAAAAATGTTTTTTTTTCACATATCAGAAAAAACATGTAGCGATTGCGCTTTGCCTTCATTACGTGTCTGTTCTTTTCGTTGGCAATTGTTTCATTATTGTTGTAATTCTTGTGGTAGAACATTTTTGTATGATACACTATTCAACATACCCTTTTATTGATCATTACATGTTATGACGACGGGTTGGAGTCTGACCGACATGACGAGACATCGAGCATTTGGTTGGATGTCACGTACTGTTATGCGTTTGATCAAACAGGGCACAACATGACGAGCGTTTTCTCTCCATGGCATAAATAGAGAAATATGTCACACTTGCAGCCCTTTATTAAATATACAAAGTCAGCGTGTCGAAAAAAGCATAATTCATACAATTCATCTTGTGCTGGCCTTTAGTACACACCTCAACTTTATGTTTATACTTATTTGTTGTGTGTACAGACCGAATCTAAATATTGTTAGAAAATCACTTTATTGAAGCTTTCCAATCTTTTGGTCTGTCTATTGCTAACTCTACAACACCTGCACATTGAACTTCATTAACTAACACACTAATAGATCCATTTATAGTTCACAAATATGATCTGGTCTTCCCATCATATAAAACCAAATACAATGGACCCAATGGACCACAATCTTCCTTCGACTTTCGTCAACATTAACTCACCTAGAAATTGAATATAAAAGAACAAACTCGAATAATATTTTCTGTATGACGAATGATTAGTTGGTTCTTTTTGAATGAGCATATTGTGCAACTATTTGATTTATCTGTCCCACTACGAAACGCTAGAACTTCCATATGTCATTGGGACATCGTAACGTTACGTTTAGTTCACCCCACAGCGCCAGTTCTACACCGTTTATAGGAAATCCTGATTATATTAATGTAAACTTGCTGAAACTTCCCAATTT